CCTCCTCAATTCAATCAATTGAAATCCAGTTACAATACACGTAAGGAGAAATGGGCTCTTAATGAGCTCATTTTGTATTGTGTGAATGAGGAGGATATGATGAAACAAGAAAGGTCTGAAAGTGCTCATATGGTTAACACCTCTAAGGGTCAGGACAAAAGAAGGAAAATTGAGGTTGTTAAGAATGATGCTGCTAAGGGTCCATCTCAAAAAAAGCAGACTAAGGTTGAAGATACCTGCTTCTTTTGCAAGAAAACTGGACACATGAAGAAGGGCTGCCAAAAGTACCATGCTTGGCGTGGTAAGAAAGGTATGTTCCTTGCTATGGTCAGTTCTCAAGTGAACTTAATTGAAGTACCCAGAAACACTTGGTGGTTAGACTCAGGTGCAACTACTAACATCAGTGTTTCATTACAGGGTTGCTTGAGCTACCGAAAACCCACTGAAGCTGAAAGACGCATTCATGTGGCTGATGGTTTTGCGGTGGATGTGGAGGCAATTGGGCATTTTAGACTGTTCTTTAGTACTGGTTGTTTTTTGGATTTGAAAGACACTTTTGTTGTACCGTCATTTAGACATAATTTGGTTTCTGGTTCTTATTTAGACATATCTGGTTATTCTTGTCTAACTGAGAATGGAAAAGTTACTTTGTCTTTAAATTCAACTTTAATTGCAACTGGTACACTTATGAAAAATCATAGTCTTTATATGCTTGACACTGTAACTTCTCATGATGAAAGTTTAAGTGTTGAATCAAGGGGTACTAAACGAAAGTTTGAAAATGAAAGTTTAGGAACTCTGTGGCACAAACACTTAGGTCACATTTCTAGAAATAGAATTGTGCGACTTGTGTCTTATTGAGTTCTATTGAGTTCACAAATTGTGATGTCTGTGTGGATTGCATTAAAGGAAAACAGACTAAACAGAAGAAATTAGGTGCATATAGAGCTACAGAAGTCTTTGAGTTGATACATACAGATATTTGTGGACCATTCCCTATGGCTTCTTGGAATGGTCAACAATACTTCATATCATTCATTGACAATTATTCTCGATATGCATACTTATTTCTTATTCATGAAAAGCCAAAGCTTATAGACGTGTTCAAGAAGTTTAAGGCTGAAGTTGAGAACCAACTTGAGCGAAGGATAAAGTCTTTCAGATCTGATCGTGGTGGTGAATATTACGGTCAGTATGACGGTTCAGGTGAACAACGTCCGGGACCATTTTCCAGATACCTAGAGGAGTGTGGAATTGTTCCTCAATACACTATGCCTGGTTCTCCCAGTATGAATGGTGTATCTGAAAGACGCAATCGCACTCTTAACGACATGGTAAGGAGTATGATTTGTCATTCCACCTTGCCTGAATCACTCTGGGGAGAGGCACTAAAGACTGCAGCTTACATTCTTAACAGAGTACCAACTAAAGCAACGGCAAAGACACCTTATGAGCTTTGGACTGGTAGAAAACCTAGTCTGAAGCATTTACACATTTGGGGATGTCCAACTGAGGCTAGGCTTTACAGGCCATATGAGAAGAAATTGGACTCCAGAACTAGGGGCTATAAGTTTTATGATCCCACACAGAAAATTATTTTGTTGGTTATTCGGAGCGATCTAGGGGTTATAAGTTTTATGATCCCACACAGAAAATTATTTTTGAGACGGGAACAACCATGTTCTTTGAGGATATTGATTTTGGGGGGGGGGGGGGAGAAATAAAGTTAAGGACATCATCTTTGAGGAAGAATCGGTTTCAGTTTCTAATCTGATTCATATATTTGCTTTTGACAATGCAAATTTGGAACCTCAAGCTGATACAGAAATCCTTCCTCAAAATGAAGATGACGATGTTATCAAACATGAAGGTCAAATTCAAGATCCTCAAGAAGTGGTGCAATAAGAACAAGTGCCTTTGCGGCGATCCACTAGAGAAAGAAGAATCGCTATTCTGGATGATTACATAGTGTTTCTTATGGAACAAGAGGAAAATCAAACCCAATTGGAAGATGATCCTATCAACTTCCGTGAGGCAATGGGTAGTTCCAAATCAGATGAGTAGGTTAAAGCTTCTGAAGAAGAGTATCAGTCAATGCTAGACAATAAAGTTTGGGACATTGTCAAGTTATCAGAAGGAAAGAAACCAATTGGTTGCAAATTGATATTTAAAACCAAATTGGACTCAAGTGGTAATGTCGAGAGGTATAAGGCTCGTCTAGTGGCTAAAGGATATACTCAGAAAGAAGGGATTGACTATAAAGAAACCTTTTCTCCAGTTTTATCAAAAGATTCTTTAAGGACAATCATGGCCCTTGTTGCACATTATGATTTAGAGCTTCATCAGATGGATGTCAAGACAGTGTTTCTCAATGGAAACATTGATGAGACGATTTATATGGAGCAACCAGAAAACTTTGTAGTCGGTGATTCAAATAAAATGGTCTGCAAGTTAAAGAAATCCATCTATGGGCTAAAACAGGCTTCTCGTCAATGGTACCACAAGTTTCATGAGGTAATCACCTCCTTTGGTGTTGAGGTGAATTTGGTCAAAGATTGTGTGTATCAAAAATTCAGTGGGAGTAAGTGCATTTTTCTGGTGTTGTATGTTGATGACATACTTCTGGCCACCAACGATATATGCATCTTGCATGAGACCAAGAGATTTCTTAAGGAAAATTTTAAGATGAAAGATCTTGGTGAAGCATCTTTTGTATTAGGGATCCAGAGTCATCGAGATAGAACTCAAGTTATTCTAGGATTATCACAAAAGAACTATATCGATAAAGTACTCAAGAGATTTGGCATGCAGGATTGCAAACCAAGTGATACCCCAGTCGCTAAAGCAGATAAATTCTCTCTCAGTCAGTGCCCTAAAGGAAAGTTGGAAATTCAGGAAATGCAAAAGCATCTGCAGTAGGAAGTCTAATGTATGCTCAAGTTTGTACGCGTCCGGATTTGGCGTACATTGTTGGAGTTTTGGGCAGATACTTAAGTAATCCAGGTTTGGACCATTGGAAAGCAGCCAAAAGGGTCATGAGGTACCTGCAAAGAACAAAGGACTTTATGCTCAAATATCAGAGATCAGATAATTTGAAGATTATTGGGTATTCTGATTCTGATTTTGCTGGATGTCAAGATAGTAAAAAGTCCACTTCAGGCTATATGTTTCTGTTGGCTGGTGGAGCTATTGTATGGCGTAGTGCAAAACAATCACTCGTAGCTTCCTCCACAATGGAAGCAGAATTTGTAGCAGTTTTTGAGACATCCAATCAGGGATTTTGGCTGAAGAATTTTGTCACAAGGCTGCAAATTCTTAAAGAAATTGAAAGACCACTAAAGATATATTGTAACAATAAATCAGCTGTTTTGTACTCCAACAAAATAGGAGTGCGACAAAGTCCAAGTTTATTAAAATTAAGTTCATGGTTGTTCAGGAGAGAGTAAAAAGTGGAGAGATTCCCATAGAACACTTAGGGACAAACTCCATGATAGCTGATCCTCTTACAAAAGGTATTCCACCCAAGGTCTTTCATGAGCATACTGCTCGAATGAGTGTTTCAGTGTTTGATGGTCATTTGGTTTAGTGGGAGTTTGTCATTTGTTTTTGGGTTCTATGTTTTTGTTGTGTTTAAGCAAATTTTATTCTGATCAGAAATAAGTTTTCAGTTTACACTTTGTGCAATAAAGTTAAAGACTCTCAATAAAGTAGGACCAGTTGAAAATCGACATGTATTAATCACTTTTCATGTGATTTTCATGCCACACTTTTCATAATTGATCTATGTCATTTGACTATACTGATTTCAGTGACCATGGAATGTTTAGTTATGATTGCTATAACGAAGACCGCAATGATCCTATGTTGCTATAGTTAATGGACGTGTTTGTTTATGCCCTGATATATAATGACAATTTTGAGCTCATAAAGTCTATCACATTTTCAGATATACATGTGACCCAGTGGGAGATTGTAAAAATTATTTGGGGTCACACATGTATAATCAATGTGTTAGGGTCGTTATTTAAAGTAGTCAAAACTTATGTGGTCACTTTGGTATTAAAGAAAAGACTAAGGGGCATAAATGTTATGAAAAAATTGATGTAAGGATACATTCAGTAATTTCTAATTTGATGACGGGCCGATTAGAATTATTCTATATAAATAGAGAGGCTATGGTCCCCGCAGCAACCCTAACGAAAAATACATAAACTATGTGCATCCATCAACAGAGACCTACAGAATTTGTTGTGGAAGAACCATAGTCAAATTCAGAGCATAAATCATGGATCCAAAGGTACGCTTCCGCTTCTGTTTTTATTAATCAGACACTGACATGCTATAATAATTTATAAAGATTTAAAACCTTACACAATATTGATTACAATATGTTAAATTGATGAAATTTGTTGCTTCTGATCCGTGTCTCGTCTTCTTCTTTTTCTTTTTTTTTGCATCTATAATCTATTTCTTGCCTCGTATTTACAAAATTTTCCATGTAGATGGGAATCATTCCCTCTGAGTCTTAGTAAATGTGGTTACTTGCATTATTTACAAATTGTAACGTTGAATGAAGAAACTCTGGATAGTGAATCAAGAATTGATCTCAATCACAGAAATGTTCTTTAAAGCCAGAAGGACAGCGAGACGTTGAAATGTTTTGTTGTTTACTTTAAAAGACTTGTTTGGCACGCATGTATATAAGACTTCTTCTTTCAGATATGTTTCTTTTCTTCTGGTGATCAAGATAAGTTTTCCTGAACATCTTGCGTTTTTGTTGTCTGGTTTGCATCTAAGAGAATAATACTATTATACCAAAGAAATTTTCTCTTTTCGTTTGCAATGAAAGTAGCTGTAAAGATTATGTGTTTCTCTCTCAGCTATAAAACAAACCGTTCAATGTCAATTGAAGATAAGACTTGTATAGAATCAGAAAAGAAAAACAAAATAACCCCAAATATTATGACGTCTTAATTTGTTTATTTCAAAAGATAAACATATCAGATTTCATGCAAAGCTCTCTCACAAATGTCTAAAACGTTATTCGGTGGATCAATCCAGACGCATTGAGGAGGACAAAGTTCTAACCACCTGTTCCATTTCATAGGCGGAGTGTACCTGTCTTCATCAAACGAGTAGGACGCACGCTTGCGATTGTAACCAAACCTTGAGAAGTAGAGATTGTTCCTCATCCATGGCAGATTAGTTCTCAACTCAGAGTTGTATAAACTGACAAAGATTGTCAAGCCATCAAGCATAGCGTTACTCATCTCTTCCCATTTCCACGAGACTAGTTTCTGTTGGATAAGCTTCTTCAGCCCAAGGCCCAAGACGTTGTTAACAAGTCGGTTAACAATACGATAGGTCTAAAAGGATATTTTCCTTAATAGGACGTTTTCCTTATTCTTTTAGAAGTAGGTTTAGGGAAATTAGAATCCTATATATATGTGTTTATTGAGCTGTGATAAACACAAGATAAGCATAAAAGCTTGGATGTTTAGTTTTGAGCTATTTTCTAATCATCAAATAAGAAGAGTTATTTCTTATACAAAGAGCTGTGTTCTTGCTTATACGACTTTATTTGGTAGCAGAGCAAATCAAAGAAGGAGAAGAAGCCGAGTAGAAGACAACACCCGAAAGTATGGCAGAAGAAGGAGCCGATTCCGACAAGGCCATTACGACCACTGTAACTGCTCGGAAGGAAACGATTCCTTCAGCGATCCAATGCCCAATGTTGACAACTACAAATTACTCGATTTGGGCCATGAGAATGAGAGTAATGCTGCGACTTCATAAAGCGTGGGAAACAATCGAGCCAGGCTCGACAGACCCTGAGAAGAATGACATCGCATTAGGTTTACTCTACCAATCAATCCCGGAAAACCTAATATTACAAATCAATGATCAGACTTCACCAAAAGAGATTTGGAATTCGATCAAGACGCGTAATTTAGGTGCAGAGCGTGTCAAGGAGGCACGACTGCAGACCTTGATGTCTGAGTTCGAGAAGATGAAGATGGAGGACTCAGAGACCATCGACGACTTTGCTGGGAAGCTGTCTCAGCTCGCGTCAAAAGCTAATGCACTCGGAGAAACGATTGAGGAGCAGCGGTTAGTAAAGAAATTTTTAAACAGCTTGCCGCGAAGCAAATTCATTCAGATCGTCGCTTCCCTTGAGCAAGTACTCGACCTGAAGACGACAGGGTTCGAAGACATAATCGGACGTTTAAAAGCTTATGAAGAGAGAATCAAAGGAGACACTAAAGAAGACGATTCACAAGCCAAGCTTTTATACGCAAACACAGACCAAAGTAACTCTCGAGGAGGCAGAGGAAACAGAGGTCGAGGAGGCAGGGGAAACAGGGGACGAGGCAGAGGAGGAGCATCTAATCCTCAAGACAAATCGAAACAAAGTAAAGAAAAGAAGGATAGATCAACTGTGATTTGTTACAGATGTGACAAAGCAGGTCACTTTGCCTCGGTTTGTCCTGACAGAAAACAAACCCAAGAAGCGAACAAGATAGAAACCGAAGAAGCAGACAAAGCCCTCTATATGCACGAGATCGTATTCCTCAATGAAGACAATGTTGTGCCGAAAAAATACGAAAAAGAAAAGAAAGAAGACGGAGTCTGGTATTTAGACAACGGCGCAAGTAATCATATGACAGGAATAAGATCATCTTTCTTGGAGCTGAATGAAAATATCAGGGGAAAGGTAAAATTTGGAGATGGATCATGTGTGGAGATCAAGGGAAAAGGCTCTATACTATTCGAAGGAAAGACAGGGGAGCAACAGCTTATTCCCGACATCTACTACATACCTGAACTAAAGAGTAATATCTTGAGTTTAGGTCAAGCCACCGAGTATGGGTGTGATGTCAGGATGAAGCAAAACTATCTCACGGTACATGATCAAGCTGGAAGACTTCTAATAAAAGTCGAAAGATCTCCAAACCGCCTTTACAAACTAGAACTCAAGATTGGGAAACCAATATGTCTTCAGTCAAAGATCGAGGAAGAAACATGGAGATGGCATGCCCGACTCGGTCATGTTGGTTTTAGGACCATCAAAGCTATGTCTGAGCAGAAGATGGTACACGGTTTGCCAAAAATCGGAACAGAAACACAACTATGCGAGTCATGCCTAGTTGGTAAGCAAACCCGCCAAAGTTTTCCAAACGCTACACAATACCGATCCTCACATGCATTGGAGCTACTACATGCCGATTTATGTGGCCCAATCGCACCAGCTACGCTAGCCCAGAACCGCTATATTTTTGTAATCATCGATGATTGCACAAGATATATGTGGACTATACTGTTGAAGGAAAAGAGTGAAGCCTTGGAAAAGTTCAAAGCTTTTAGAAATCTGGTTGAGAAGGAGTGTGAGAAGATGATCAAGATATTGCGAACAGATAGAGGGGGTGAATTCACATCTGGTGAATTCCAAGAGTTCTGTAAAAGCAATGGGATTAACCAACACTTCACGGCACCATACACCCCACAGCAAAATGGGGTGGTTGAAAGAAGAAATCGTACCCTTATGGAGATGACAAGGAGTATGTTAAAGGCAATGAGGGTACCAAATTATTTGTGGGGAGAAGCTGTACGACACTCAACATACGTGATCAACAGAGTGCCCACAAGAGCCTTAAAAGGTCAAACACCCTACGAATGTCTGAAAGAAAAGAAGCCAAACATTGGTCATCTTCGAGTTTTTGGGTGTTTAGCTCACGCCAAAGTCGATACCACTCATCTTAAAAAACTTGATGATCGATCACAGGTTTTAGTTCATCTTGGAATCGAACCAGGAACTAAGGCATACAGGCTTTTAAATCCATCTACCAGAAGAATCATCGTAAGCCGAGACGTAGTTTTTGATGAGAAGACTGGTTGGAATTGGAAGGGAGTAACTGCAGAAGATGAGCCAGGGTTGTTTCGTATGACTTGGGGAAATATTACAGACGAAGGGCACGGACCGTATAAAGAGAGTAATGAGCTACCCCAGGACAATATCGAAACAGAAACTCAAGCAGAAACAGAGGTTCAAAGCAGCGACAACGAAGTAGAAACTACAGAAGAACAAAGTCATGAGGATCCTGCACCCGATGATCCTCTCATCGGTGAACAGCCACGTTTTACAAAGTCTGGAAGACAAGTAATTCGACCTAAACACCTTGATGACTATGTTTTTCTAGCAGACATCGAGTGTGAAAGAATCTTGTTGTCGATAAACGATGAGCCCCTGAATTACAACGAAGCAAAAGAATCGGAAGATTGGACTCAAGCTTGCAGAGACGAAATCTCTTCGATTAATAAAAACAAGACATGGACCTTAGTTGACAGACCAAAGGGAGTCAAAGTCATCGGTCTCAAATGGGTTTTTAAAATCAAGAGAAACGCAGATGGCACTATTAACAAATTCAAAGCCAGATTAGTTGCCAAAGGTTATGTCCAACAATCTGGAATTGATTTTGACGAAGTATTCGCACCAGTAGCTCGAATTTAAACTGTGCGATTACTCGTAAGTTTAGCTGCTTCTAATGAATGGGAGATCCATCATCTGGACGTAAAGACCGCATTCCTGCACGGAGAACTCAATGAAGATGTGTATGTCTCTCAACCTGAAGGGTTTGAAAAGAAGGGAGAAGAACAGAAGGTTTTCAAACTCTCAAAAGCCCTATACGGATTGAGACAAGCTCCGCGAGCCTGGAACACAAAACTGGATCAGATTTTAAGAGGAATGAACTTTCGAAAATGTTCAAAGGAGAATGCAGTATATCGCAAGGAAGAAGGAGTAAAGCTTCTCATTGTCGCAATATACGTTGACGATCTGTTTGTTACAGGAAACACCTTGGAGATCATTCTAGAGTTCAAGAAAGGAATGTCATCAAAATTTGAGATGTCGGACCTTGGTAAACTTACGTATTACCTCGGCATCGAAGTAAAACAAAGCAAGGAAGGAATCGAGATGAAACAAGAAGCATACGCACGACGGATTCTAAAGGAAGCAGGTCTAGACACTTGTAATCCGACTCATATACCAATGGAGTTTGGATTAAAGCTGTCGAAAGCCCCAGACGAGGAATCAGAAGATGCAACAATGTATCGCAGGAAAATTGGTTGCCTGAGATATCTCCTTCATACTAGACCGGACCTAGCATTCTCAGTGGGAGTTGCAAGTCGATACATGCAGGATCCAAAGAAGTCACATGGAACAGCATTAAAACAGATTTTGCGGTATTTACAAGGAACTGCAGGTTTCGGTCTAACATTCAAAAGAGGAGGAACGAAGAAACTAATCGGTTACAGCGACAGTAGCCACAACGTGGACGTCGATGATGGAAGAAGCACAAGTGGACATGTTTTCTACTTCGACGATTCGCCCATCACTTGGAGTTCACAGAAACAACAAACGGTTGCACTATCATCTTGTGAAGCCGAGTTCATGGCTGCAACGGAAGCTGCAAAGCAGGCTATATGGCTCCAAGACTTGTTGAGTGAGATAACTGGACGTAGCTATGAGAAGACACTAATTCGTGTTGATAACAAATCGGCCATCGCTCTCACTCGCAACCCTGTTTTTCACGGAAGAAGTAAACACATCCACAAGAGATATCATTTCATCCGAGAGTGTGTAGAAGATGAACAGATCATGGTGGAGTTCGTATCTGGCGAAGAACAGTGTGCAGATATACTTACCAAAGCCCTCGCAAGAATCAAATTCAAGACAATGAGAAGACTGATCGGCGTTCAAGATCTCTCGGAGTCGGATTCGAAGCTTAAGGGGGTGAATGTTGGATAAGCTTCTTCAGCCCAAGGCCCAAGACGTTGTTAACAAGTCGGTTAACAATACGATAGGTCTAAAAGGATATTTTCCTTAATAGGACGTTTTCCTTATTCTTTTAGAAGTAGGTTTAGGGAAATTAGAATCCTATATATATGTGTTTATTGAGCTGTGATAAACACAAGATAAGCATAAAAGCTTGGATGTTTAGTTTTGAGCTATTTTCTAATCATCAAATAAGAAGAGTTATTTCTTATACAAAGAGCTGTGTTCTTGCTTATACGACTTTAGTTTCTACACTAATGGCTTCTCGTTACCGCTTGTACATATGAGAAAGAGCTCTCCTTTCTTCTCTCCCAAGAAAACTGTTTTTTGGCACCCACTTGACTGCTGATAACGATCGATACATGCAGAAGAATGAACATACAGTCTTCGGGAATATGGGTAAAAGGAATACAAGCAGCCTATCGCTTCGTTAAAGCCATAGAATTGATCATCGACATATAGAAGCGTGCTTTGCTTATGAAACGGTCTGCTTTGCGTTTGAAACGGTGGAAAAATAATGTGATGCTTAGTAAACCACTCAGTTGCTCCTGGACAGCAAGTGCTGATACTGACAGCAAAGTGTATCGCTACCACGACACAATCATCGGATGTAGGAGAACAAGAGAACGCAATCTCCCGAAAAGACAGGTCAATCTTGGGCAAGCTTATGAGCTCCTTAGAAAACGGGTTGAAGAAGAAAGTGTCCTGTGATTCACATCTATGCATAAGTAACCAGCCGTCTCTTGAGTAACACACAGTTGATCCAGCTAGCTCTGGTAGTTTCAGAGGGTTTGACTTCCATGTCAGTGGATCGCAGAGTTTAAACAAGTGGCCATGTTTAGGGAAATACAAAATCCAAGGATGTTTTTCCACTACACGAACAGATACTGCTGCTTCGAGCCATGACTTGCAAGCAGCAGATGCACGGATGTTATCTTTTAACACAAGTTGAGACATTATAATTTCTAGAAGAACTGTCGGAAGATCAGCAAAACTCGGCTTCATCAGTGCCGTTTGGCTCCGAGTTTTGTGTCTACAAAAAAAAAAATGAAGTTCAAATTATGCAAAAGTTTTTGACTTTTCTAAAATTCGTTACAAAAACAAACACACAAAAAGAGAACTCTTTACTGGGATACGTTTTTGAGAACCCCTAATTGTTCTTGATTATACAAAGTCTGTTAGTTTCATATACTATACTTTCAAATTAGCTCAAGGTCAAAATTTTCACGCCAGAAAAGATAACCGTACCCTTGTCAAAAAATTTCAAATCGACTGAATATTGATTAGATTTTGCAAAAAAAAAAACACACTGCCTGAAAAGTAACAAACCGTCTATTTGGGACGATGGTCGGAAAAGAACAAAGTGACTTCATGGCCGGAGACGGCGGTAGTGTTTGAAGGGGCAATGGTGGTCGCAAATTGCGTCCCGGCGATTTATGGAGATTCTAAAACCCTAGGGTTTGTTGTGTATCATAGTCTTTTCGTATATTCCAATATCGTTCAAAAGTCCAAAAAATGTCAATTTTGGAATATGTTGTTCGTTCTTCTCTTGTTTTTATGTAATTTTTCTTTTTCTTTCACGGGTTTTTCCCATAACTTTTATGTTTTTTTGCAAAATTGATCATCACCTTTGGAAAATGCAGGTCAATACCCTCATCTCAAAAGCCACCCTCAATATAATTCTTTTTATATTGATGATGTAGCATTTTTGGATTTTCGTGACAAAACACACAGAATATAAACGCAGCGTTTCATCAATATCAAAAACAACATGATGTTTTTGAAACTGTAGGCTAAACAACACACATTTTAAATATTAGACCCAAATTTATTTTGCTAAATTTTCCTTAAAAGTTAGGGTTTCAGAATTCGATCAACAATTGCCTTAATTTCTGCATAATGGAGAATCAAACCTCTTTACGCCTCTGTTAATCTCTTATTTCTGGAAATTGGTAGACTGTATGGGTTAGGTTACAACGTTGTGGGTTCACATCTTTTTTCTTTCTGTGAATTTGTTGTTGTTAGATTTTGGTTTTCTCAAACTTTTCTGGGTTTGATTAGTAGAGTCATAAGAAGTTCGATTCTGTTCTCACATAATATGTATCAATTCGTTTAAACCCTAATTTTAAAAATAAATTATTTATAAATTTGGAATTGATCTCTCCAAATACAATTGAAGCTTTACGAGCCAACAAAATGAAGCTCGTCTACCCGAAAAATTCGGATGCGATGTGGTCATCATTGATGTTTGAACCTCGATTTGATTTAAGTAAACTACTTACAAAAGCGTTTGATTTTTAATTTTGTTTGCCTGAGATTATCTGTTATTTAGGTAGATGGAGAAGAGAAAGAGAGAGAAGAGAAGAGGAAGAAGAAGGGATACACATTTTTGTTTTTTTTTTTTTTTTTTTTTCAAATAATTTTAATAAAATTATTCTGCAGGATTTAACAAAAAAAAAAAAAATTATTCTGCAGGAGAATTCATATGACTAAAACGGTGCATTTTGAAAACTGTCACCGATATAACATTCATTTTGACCTACATTTTTTCAAGGTGAGGATCAATCTTGCAAAATAATTAAAAATGATGGTTTTTTTTGCACAAAAAAACCGTTTAAAAAGTCCCTTCTGTATCTCAGTTTTCTATAAAATCCCTTCTATAGATTCTATACTGTAAATGTAGCACAGACACAGTACCAGTATAAATTTGGGTATAATAATTTAAAATGTGTGTTGTTTAGCTGACATTTTCAAAAACATCATGTTGTTTTGATATTGATGAAACGCTACGTTTACATTCCGTGTGTTTTATTACAAACATCCCAAAATGCCATGTCGTTGATATAAAAAAGGGTTATATTGCGGGTGACTTTTGAGATAAGGGTATTCACCTTCATTTTCCAAAGGTGATGGTCAATTTTGAAAAAAAAAATAAAGGTTATGGGTTTTTTTTCACAAACCCCTTCTTTCACCCTTGAAATTTTTACCCCTTCTTTCACCCTTGAAATTTTTACTAGCATATGCGTTTTTTAACATACTTTTTTCTAAGCTTTTTTTTGTAAATCTTGTATAGTTTTGAAAGTTTATTAAATTCTTTTATAAAAATCCATAATTTTACATTTAATTTACTCTTTTTTTGGGCTAAATTTTTAACTTTGTACTCTTTCACTTAATTCACTGTATATATACTTTTAAAACTGTAAAATGGGTTTACACCTTCCACAGTCTACGCTAAGCACCTCTATAATCAAGTTTCATAATGCATTATAAATTTGACAAACTAGAAATAGTTCAGTCATTACCAGAGCCGTTCTCAGAGATACGAAACCCGTAAGCGAACATAAAAAAAAAGACTTTCATCGTATTAAATTTCTATAAAATCAATCTAAATTGTATTGAATAAATCTTTTAAAAAAGACCCTCATCGTATTAAATTCATATAAAATCAATCTAAATTGTATTGAATAAATAATAACTATCATCGTCTCAGTTCATATAAAACCAATAATAAAAAACATAATAGCCCACCTATTAGATATTAAACCGATAGAACAAATACTTCACTTTATTTTAGCCAAAGGCCGAGAAAGGTATAAAATTATGATACCTAAATTTTTAAACTAAATCTCACCTTTTTCAAAATAAGATAAAAATATAGAGATTATCGTGAATAAAGAGAAGAAATTATTGTATCTTATTCTAAATAATGAGAGGTATATATAGTTTTACAAAGAGTTAGTTATGCTAACATTTTACCAATGTAGGATTTTTTAGAAAAAGTTAAAACACATGCCAATAAATTATCATCATCATTACCCTAACTTTTTATTAGTTAAATATTGGGCTTAATTTAACTAAAATCTGCTGTCACCTATTCTACTTTGGGCCTTCGATTTTTTTAATAAAATTTGGGCCTGTAAGCCAATGCTTCTTTTTCAGTCACATAGGCACGGTCCTGGTTATTAAAATGTGATAAACACATTTAGTTTAGCCAATTTTGTTAATAATTGATTGTGCTGAGAGTACATCAAACCCCAAATTTTGTAAATACTCTCTTTTACTAAAATGATTTGATGATTGATTCAGTAATGTGTCAACAATTTATCCTTAATTTTTAATTAGCCTAGAAGTTACAACATAGCCTAGAAGTTACAACATTAGAGAAACTTCTAGGCGGTTACACTTCACATAAATCTCCAAACGACCCAACAAAAAAAACAAAAAGAAAACAAAAGAGAAAAAGCCCAAAACGGTTTTTAAGGAATTAAAATCAATTAACCAAAAAAAAAAAGAGAGCTCAAAACGACGAGTCTCGCCGATCCAATCCCATTCACAACAAAAACAATAAGAACATCTTTTTCTTTTCCCCTTCCTCACTCCAATTCCTAGAAGACGAAAAAGCTCACAACAATCATAAGTTTCTTCTCTCAGATTCTCTCGTTTTTCGTCTCTTATGGCGACACCGAATCAGGAAGCAATCGACACTTTCATTAGCATCACCGGCGCTTCAGACGTCGTCGCCGTTCAGAAGCTCGAGGTGATTCGAATTTACTCATCTGGATTTAAGTTTCTTTGTGTCCTTTTCGCGATTCTTCCCTTTCTTTGGATGCAATCTTGTTTGGGTTTGGATGATTTTTTGGAAGTTTCTCGAGTCGATAAAGTTAAAGTTCGATGAAGACGATCGTTTGATTATCGGATGCTTTTCTCTTACTCTTTTTGGTTCTTTTTCTTATTAAAATCTCTGATGGTTAGTGCTGTAATCGAAGTTGATTTTCAGAATTTTAGGTCATTGGATGGTTTAATTGAGTTTCTAGAAGCGTTTCTGTTCTTACATTGGTGATTAGCAGTACGGTTTCTACTGAATTCTCGCGTTTATCATATACTAAACTTGTTCATTGATGATTGTATGATTTTCGTCAATTTCGCAGAGAAATTCTTCGAGTTTGACTGCTGATTTAGACTAGCCTATACTTGTTTAGATGTATTACAGTTTGGTTTTTCTTTCTTTTTGTCTTGTGGTTGCTTTATTCTTATTAGGCTGATATGTATTGTCTTAGTATCGATATAAGGCTTGTACTTGCGTATACATGATTGATCTTTTGTCCCAATCTTACCTTCCTTTTGTTATTGCAGGAGCATCGTGGTGATCTTAATCAAGCTGTGAATGCATATTTCAGCGAGGGAGATCAAAATGCGTATGCCATCCATCTCACTGATGATTTGAAACCTATATATTTATCTTTTTCCCCGAAAAATTATCATTTCTTGTGTGTGGTACCTTCTTATGATCGTTGTGCAGAGTACGTGAAGCACCAGTGAATGTCCTTGACGACGATGCAATGGATATAGATGATGTGATTCCGGCTGCACAAAATCCTCTATCTCTTCTCAATGCAGCTAGAACAACAGGGCCCTTTTCGCTTCTTGATTCAAACTTTGGTAGAAGTATATTTGATAATGATCCTCTTATGCCACGCCCACCTCCATTTGTTAGTCATCCCAGAGAGGTTAGGCAGATACCTATAGAGGTTAAGGAAAGCAGTGGGCCATCAGAACGATATCGTGATGCTCCTACTATCGAGGATGTGACAGAAACAGCACATGTTCAGGGTCCAGCTACCCAAGGGACGGTTATTGTAGATGAAGAGAGCGATGATGATATTAGCTTTGTACCAACAACAAGAAGTAGGCAAGGTATACATGCTGCTCCTGCACCCAATAATGCTCAAGATTACAATGATATAGAAGAAGAGATGATCCGAGCTGCCATTGAGGCCTCAAAAAAGGAGGCTGAGGTAAGCTTTTCTAAGAGAATGCGGCAGTAATTGGTTTTGTCTTCTTGTTTATCTTCGCATATCGATTTAGCAAAATTTTATTTCTTTTATAGGGATCAAGTAATCCTTTGCCTGAAGAGAGGCCGTCTCACATGGGAGATGATGATGACATAGCAAAAGCTGTCACAATGTCATTGAAGGTCTGTGGCTGTCTCCTCCTCTCCTCTTGTTTTTTCTTCCATCTCTCTGTGATCTCGTTTAACATAAACGAGTGCAGTCAGCGGAGGAAGAAGTTTTGCGCAATCAAGGGTATAAAGCCTCAACTTCAGAAATAGGAGCTTCTGAAACGGCTGCTGCTCAAGGACTTCAAGATACCCAAGCCATGAACGGAAGGTTTGTTGGTTCTTGTCTGTAACGCTTTGCTACTGTGTTACCCCTGAGCTTAATATCTGCAGTTGCAAAATCTTCTGTCAAGCGGTGTATCTACTGGTGTTTGTCTAATAGAGAGGCCTAACAAGTTGTCTTTTATATTATCTAGACTGGCAGCACCTAGCTCACCAATTGAGGATGACTCTGATGATGTGGACGAGGAACCTCTTGTTAGACACAGGCCAAGACGTGCGGCGTCTGGATCCGTGCCCCCACCTAACGCTGACCGTTCTCGGAGCCGGAGTCCTGAAGCAGAAGATCCAGCGGATAGTGGCAGTCGGTTTCCTTCTGAGGTATCAATAAAATCTGTTTCGTTTTCGCACATCGAGACCAGACTAGTATACCAGTATGACTTTACAGTTAAGAATCCTAGAGTAGCTTGTCCATGTCATTACTGATACTCTTTTGTCTATGCTTAAGTGGGGAGGCATTTCGTCTGAGGAACATGATGAAGCTGTGATGCTCGAGGCAGCCATGTTTGGTGGCATTCCTGAAACTGGATATAATCATGTTCCATTCTTACCTCCTCAGCAGAGAGCACCACCGCGTCCACCCTCACCTTCATTGACAGCTCAGAGGTTGATTCGAGAACAGCAGGTTAGGCAGCACTTACTAGTTTCTTGAGTAAACCCCTTTATATTATTGAGGGTTATTGGTGATAATAAAATTTCGTATCAGGATGATGAGTATCTCGCATCCCTGCAAGCTGACAGAGATAAAGAACTGAAATCCATTAGAGATGCTGAAGCACGTCAGTTAGAGGAAGAAACTGCTAGGAAGGCTTTTTTGGAGGAAGAGAAGAAAAAAGAAGAAGAAGCTCAAAGAAAACTCGAGGAGGAACAGGTGCCGTTTCTGTTTTCACATATAACCCACTTTCTAAAGCCGGTTCAAACAAGTTTTCCTTAATTCTTGATTCCGGATTGTTACCGAGACTCCTGCTAGTAGATAAAGAAAGATCAGCTAAGCCACATGCACCTTCGAAACCCCTTTCTTTGTTTCAGAAAGATGGATCTCTATACCATACAATGATTGTGAATAATAATCTGTTTTAGCGTATTGCTGCTATTTAGGCTGGTTTTGCACAAGTTCTAGTGAAGGCTAATCTTTTGTTACTGATTTAGTGTACTTTCCTCTGAATTCTGATGCAGGAGCTAGAGAGGCAACTAGTTGCAAAAGAAGCGTCTCTGCCTAAGGAGCCACAAGGAGATGAAGAGAATGCCATTACTCTTCTCGTCCGGATGCCAGATGGAACTCGACGTGGCCGCCGGTTCCTTAAATCCGACAAACTCCAAGTGAGTTTTCCCGAAAATCCATTTCACTTTGCTTACTGTATTTACTCAAATCTTATACTTAAATAACGGTTGTGTTTTGCAGTCTCTTTTCGACTTTATAGACATTGCCAGAGTGGTGAAACCCAAGACTTACAGACTGGTAAAACTTCTGCATCCTTATCAATAAAATCTCTCTTAACCCATGCCTAAAGATGTTGTAAACTGCCATATTGTAAAGCAAAAATGATATGCAGGACCGGTTTTTCCCTCAGGACTGGTCCTTGATGGGGTGGTTTTAAAATCACTTGTCTAACTTTTGTTTATGTGATGAAACAGGTGAGGCCGTACCCTCGGCATGCGTTTGGGGATGGAGAAAGTGAGTCGACTCTGAACGATGTTGGATTGAGCAGCAAACAAGAAGCATTGTTCCTTGAGCTTATCTGAGCTCTTAAAAAAATATATACCAGACTTACATTTGTCTACTGCTTAGATACTCTTTTACTTTTCAAGCTATTATATTTTCTTTATTTAATCTTTCTTTCTATAAAAGAAAATATATTTGTTGGGAGGCATTTATTTTAAGTGATACAACAGTCGTCGTTTAGTCGTTTGTACATACCATAGATTGTCTGCACAACATACCTAAACACTTAGATTACTTCTCGGGAGAGAAAATGCCTAAGCATATGCATTCTTCTTAAAGCAGTATCGAAGCATCCTTCAAGTTCAAACGTGTAAACCATGTTGAAAAAAAAATTACATTAATAATGGCTAATATGTGGTTTATTGATCAAACATTAACAGCAAGAAATTGCAATAAACGACATGACCTCGGGACAGTAAGCACAACATCACACCACTCAATCTTGCCATAAACCTCATGATCGCTGCGCCTATCGACCGCAATCACAGCACACCAAATCTTCTTGTCAAAGCCAATAGCACTCGCTCTCTTCTCCCACAAAACCGCAATCTTGCCACCATAATCTACTAACTTCACACGACTACGACACTTTGGTAGTTTAGGAAGCTCTTCCAAACCCTTGAAAACTCTCCACAATCTTCCCTCGGAGTCGTACCATTGGAGCACTCTCAACATTACAGAACAGTACATTACGTTATCAATTACGCAAGAAGGAAAAAAGGTACCAATAATCAAAGGCCTCGTCTCAGAATTTTCTACCACATCCCATGTATTTTCATTGGGCTTATAAACCATAGTTTTATCACTCCCATACACGTAAAGCTTTCCGTCCAGGGCTAAGCTTCTTAATATGAGACTCTGGTTGAGTATCTCTGCTCTAGGGCTTGGCACATGCTCCCATATTTGGGTTTTTGGGTCGAAAACTTCCATCAAATCCGAATAACCGGGCCCGGTCCAGCCTTCCACTACATATATTTTCCTATCAAGAACACTCACGGTTTCCCACTTTCGAAAAATCTGCATGCTTGGAGCTTCGTGCCAGGCGTGAGAACGACAGTCCATGAAGAAGACCCTATGATCCCTTTTTGTGCCAATCACGTAGATCTTTGAACCAATTGCAGTACGAGACCACGCAAGTGGAGGAGAACAATCGTGTGTTTGGACCGAGACCATGAGTTTGTCACTTGATTTCTTATATGGTTTAAAGCAGGGAGTGAACCATCCTGAGTTAGTCTTAGGGTTAGGGTTTCGAGTTGGTCTTCTGCATAGAGTGAACCAACGTGGGTCAGAACCAAAACTGAAACTTAAGCACAAATAAAGACAATTCTCGGTCCGGTCTAAGAGCGTTCGGGTTTCGTAAAGCTCAAGCGATGCAATGAGAGAGCGAAACCTCTTGGAGACTAAGAAGAGAGTCTGGTAGTATAATCTCGAGACGCGGGATAAGCAATTCAACAGTATTTCATCAGGAAGATTAAGCATATTAACCGGCGAATAAGACTCTTTGCCGTTTGACATTAGCAGATAACGTAGAGAGTAATCAAACTCGAGAGGCTTATTAACTAGTTTACACTTTTGGTAACAAGAAAAACATTTATGCTCTATGCAAAGAACGGTCCTCTAATTCTTGGATTATTCAGCCTTTTGTAGAATTCATTTCCTTAACTTCCTTTTTGTCTTTTACCTTCTCCGGATATTTTTTATATTAATTTCCATTTTGTCATTTACCAATTTTATAGTTTATTTCCTTCCTTTCCTTTTTGTCATTTACCTTTTTATATATTAGATTTTCCATTTCTTGTATTTTAATTTCCTTGATTTCCATCTATTGTATACAATTGAATCTTCGACCTTTTAGGGCGTTAGTTTTGTACATTAATTTTTTTTGTTTTTGAGTTTTTTTTATATAGTTTGTAGCTTTGCTTTTCAGTTTATATTTAGAAAACAAACAACAGTAAAAACTCTAATTAATATTCGATAAATTAATAAACTCAACTAATTAATAATTTTTGTCTCAAAATTTATGTTTTGAACCAATTAATCTATTTCTATATTTTTACTGAAATGATGTTTTGTGAATCAGTAAGCTTTGTTTGCAAAAACCCAAAAACAAAAGCAAATAGTGTTTTTTCCCAGATGCGTGTAGGGAGAAAGTGTAGGGAGAAAAAAAGAGTGAAGCAGATCACCAGGCAAAAACAGAGCAAAGCAGAGAAGAGAGGAATAAAACACAACTGAGAACATGACTAAACAAAAGTACTTATATAAAAGAGAAACGTCATATGCAATTTCCACTTTGAGCAATATAAAGAATCCATCATCGTATTAAAAAAAAAACCAAATTATGTTAGTGGCTAATGGTTTGACTTATCAAAGATAACAGCAAAAAGGTTTGTTGCCTTTGGTCTTCTTGGCAGCTAAGAGCATCTCCAATGAAGGATGCTTAAGAGGTATTTAGCTAAAAATTGGACAAAAATAAAGATTTAATGGTTTAAATCTTAAGCATTGGTGTTTCCCTAAAACAATCATTATTACAGAAATCCATATAGATTTTTTATGTAATTTTTTATTATTATATTTTGTTGAAAAATGTGGTCCACAAAATATATTAATACAAAAATTCAGATATATTTTTTTATTATATTTTGTTAACCATTCATGTGCAAACACGTGGCGGAAGAAACTTATCTTATGATTCCCAAATAAGAAACGTTTTTTAAATTAAATGTACCATTTAATTATATTTATTATTAAATTTTCTTTAAAAATCTATTAAAAACCAGCGATAATGATGCTCTAAGCATTTTTAGAGACTCTAAGCAATTCTGTCGTGGCAGCTTCGGGTTGGTTGAAACATTTTTATTTTTTATTTATTGTTTTCCTCTCAATTGAACTCTTTCTCTCTCTATTCTCCTTTGACTCATTCTTTTCCAAACTTATGTTTTATATGCTTTTTCTTAATGTAATGTATGTTTGAAATTAAAATCAATGAAGTAATTGTTATTTATAAAATAATAATGTTTTAAATATTTTAATTAAAAAAAAATTTAAGCACTGCATTTTTAGGGTGCTTACCATTGGAGATGGTCTAAGGACTTAGCTTTGAAGGGCAAAAACGTCACTCCGTCCCGTAAAAGGTTGCAGAAGCTTAGGGATGTCCACACCATCCTCTCGCTGGTAGGTCTCGAGAATGTAAAAAATTATTTGGGGTCACACATGTATAATCAATGTGTTAGGATTATTATTTAAAAGTAGTCAAAACTTATATGGTCACTTTGGTATTAAAGAAAAGACTAAGAGGCATAAGTGTTATGAAAAATTAATGTGAGGATACATTCAATAATTTCTAATTTGATGACAGGCTGAATTATAAATTATTCTCTATATAAATAGAGAGGTTATGGTCCCCGCAGAAACCCTAACGAGAAATACAGAAACTCTATGCATCTCACCAATCTCACCTACAGCTATTCAGGATTTATTATGGAAGAACCATAGCCAAATTCAGAGCATAAATCATAGATCCAAAAGGTACGCTTCCGCTTCTGTTCTTATTAATCAGAGACTGACATGCTATGGTAGTTTATAAGGATTTAAAACCTTACAATTGGTATCAGGGTCATCATGTTCAGTTTCTGTTTGATAATCAGGTTATTTTAAAAAATAAATTCGGATTTAATTTTATGAAAAAAATTAGATTGTTGAATTTAATTTTTCTCTAAAGTGTATGTCTTGATAAGTATTTTGGGATTTGTGGTTTATTTTTAAAACTTAGATCTGGATTAAACATGTTTAGTCTGGCTTTATGTAATTGTTCTAGAGAAAAACATGTTTAAATTTCTTGCTAATTCAGATCTATATTATTGCTCATATGGTTTTGTTTTCTAAAAAATTATATATATATTTCGAAATTTTCTGGGAGCAATTATTGGATTTAACTTTTGAAAATTTTTAAAGTTTCATGCTCATAAAGTTTTTTTTTTCGAAAATTTTGAGCAAAATTCAGATTTGATTTCAGCCTTGGCGGCTGTAAACCCTAAGGGTGAAGACAATGGCATTTTTGTAATTTTTAAAAAGTTTGTTAGTGAAACTGTGCACTTCATATGGTTAAGTCGAACTGGGCATGGACCCAATTTTGACTGAAGTTGCATTTAAGCCCAAGTTTCATTAAAGCCCGAATTTGGTTATATTCCACTAAGATTCAAACCCAGGTTGCACTACATGGGCAGGGCTTTTCCAATCTGTCTTCAACCGTTCTGCCGCTTTAACATTCTTGCATATAGAACCTCCAGACTTTATCTTATATGTCTGTGCAATAATATAATTAAACTTCTAATCAATAAATATCTTTGATTGTACAAGTTTAATATTTGAAGTGGATTAATTGATGCAATATGTTGCCAAAATAACCTCTATTGTGGATATTTTTTTCATGGATAATATTAAATGTTATGTGTGTATGTATATTCATGCGAATATTAAATCGACCCAAAGGTAGGTTTTGTATTTGGCCGAATAACATACATACATGTGATAATAAACATGTGATGATTATTAAGAATAACCATGTGAATGATAAATCGATCCAAAGATAGTTTTATTGTTTATCATGCATTATTGTCAGTGTTTGATTGTTACAACAAGAGTATCACTAGTAGTTAATATTACCGTCCAAAGACTTGATATTAATTTGCACTTGATATCCTGAGATGGGTTGTACAATTGTTTATTTTTATTTATTGATTTAATTCGGTTTAGTAGTAAATTACTAATAAAGATTGTTCAATTTTGCAGCGAAATTTACTGCAGTATCTGCAAACTTAAGTTCAATTCCAACACTTACCGGTTCCAATTACAAGGAATGGAAAAGTAAAGTTAAGATTGTTCTAGGGTGTATGGATCTTGACTTTACGTTAAGGAAAGAACAACCTACTTCTCCTATAGATACCAGCACTGCTGAGTATAAGGCGGTTCATGAGAAGTGGGAATGTTTAATTGCATTGGTTTAATGATCATTTTGGACACCATTCCAGAAATCTTTAGAGGTAATGAGCAGATCTCTGATCTCAAACAGTTCCTTGCTGAGATGGACTTGCGTTTTGCGAGTAGCGATAAGGCAGAAATAAGTTCTCCACTGTATCGATTTAGTACCATGAGGTATCACAGCAAAAGAAACATAAGGGAGTACATTTTGGAAATGTCCAACATTGTTTCAAAACTCAAGACACTCAAGATTGAGCTTCCAGAAGAAGTGCTCATACATTTTGTCTTGAACTCCCTACCTCCTCAATTCAATCAATTAAAATCCAGTTACAACACACGTAACGAGAAATGGGCTCTTAATGAGCTTATTTTGTATTGTGTGAACGAGTATAGGATGAAACAAGAAAGGTCTGAAAGTGCTCATATGGTGAACACCTCTGAAGGTCAGGGTAAAAGAAAGAAAATTGAGATTGTTAAGAATGATGCTGTTAAAGGTCCATCTCAAAAGAAGCAGAGTAAGGATGAAGATACCTGCTTCTTTTGCAAGAAAACTGGACACATGAAGAAAGACTGCCAAAAGTACCATACTTGGCGTGGTAAGAAAGGTATGTTCCTTGCTATGGTCTGTTCTAAGCTGAACTTAATTGAAGTACCCAGAAACACTTGGTAGTTAGACTCATGTGCAACTATTAACATCAGTGTTTCATTACAGGGTTGTCTGAGCTACCGAAAACCAACTGAAGCTGAAAGAAGCATTCATGTGGCTGATGGTTTTGCGGTGGTTGTGGAGGCAATTGGGAATTTTAGACTGTTCTTTAGTACTGGTTGTTTTTTGGATTTGAAAGACACTTTTGTTGTACCGTCATTTAGACATAATTTGGTTTCTGGTTCTTATTTAGACATATCTGGTTATTCTTGTCTAACTGAGAATGGAAAAGTTACTTTGTCTTTAAATTCAACTTTAATTGGAACTGGTACACTTATGAAAAATCAGATTCTTTATATGTTTGACACTGTAACTTCTCATGATGAAAGTTTAAGTGTTGAATCAAGGGGTACTAAATGAAAGTTTGAAAATGCAAGTTCAGGAACTCTGTGACACAAACGCTTAGGTCACATTTCTAGAAATAGAATTGAGCAACTTGTGTCAGATGGTATATTGAGTTCTATTGAATTCACAAATTGTGATGTCTGTGTGGATTGCATTAAAGAAAAACAGACTAAACAGAAGAAATTAGGTGCATATAGAGCTACGGAAGTCCTTGAGTTGATACATACAGATATTTGTGGACCATTCCCCACAGCTTCTTGAAACGGTCAACAATACTTCATATCATTCATTGACGATTATTTTTGATATGCATACTTATTTCTTATTCATGAAAAGTCAGAGTCTATAGACATGTTCAATAAGTTTAAGGCTGAAGTTGAGAACCAACTTGAGCGAAGGATAAAGTCTGTCAGATCTGATCGTGGTGGTGAATATTACGATCGGTATGACGGTTCAGGCGAACAACGTCCAGGTTCATTTGCCAGAT